TGTGCAGACTTTCGTGCATGTGTTCAGGGTCAAAAATTGAATTGTTTCGGCGGAAAAAGAATAATATGAAACCACCGAATAACAATAGGCCTACCCAATAATGTTTTTTATTTATTTATTTTTTTATCTTTATTTATCAGACTCGAAGTCCATAAAAAACAAACAAACACATCACAAACACAACAGACAAACAGTTATAAAAGAAAACTGTACCAGAGCTTCCACAGAGCTGACTGGTAGCGCACAGAACTCATACTGGGGTTCACCAGAGACCGCACAAAATAGTTCTCACTGACATTCAGACGGCATATAAACCTGTACATCATATTTCGCATGAGAGCATGGAAAGAGTTCACATGACTCTGACAGAACAGACTAGCACTACTGGACCTGGGCTTTTTCAGCAGAATCTTGAAAGCATCATTATATGCAACTTTGAGCTTCTGTAGTGCAGCCTTCTTATATCTGCTCCACAGTGGAGCTGTATACAGAGGTGAACAGTACATTTTAAACAGTTTAATTTTAACATCGACTGTGCACATGTGAAATTTCCGCACTAAGGTGTTGGCTTGAGCGTACAGTTTACAACACTGGCGATTAATGTCATCATCATCACAGAGTCGGTCAGTTATGATTAGGGTTGGGCACCGAGAACCGGTTCCTATTTGGAACCGGTTCCTAAAGTGCGGTTCCGGAACCGTTAAGAAGACGTTTGTATTTTGATTCTTTTTTCGATTCCTAAATGCCGGATGCGGCCCGCACAGCGGCGTCGGAAGCGTTTGGAAGGTGGGGGGGGACACGTTTCAAAAATGCTTAGCAGCTGTCCACCCAGCGTAATAAAGCCCTGGCTTTATTATTTTGTGAAAAACTCAGTGAATTAAGCTCTTATGAGACGGCGCGCTCGTGTTTGCATCCACATTTAGCTTCAGCCACACCCGTTAACTCCTGCCATCGCAAAGAAACCCCTCAACGCTTGTATCGTCACATTTTCCACAAACGCAGATAAAACTGAGTCAAGGGGTAAAGGAAGCAAACATTTATCCGTCAAATGACTAATTCAGATATTATTTGGTTAAGTTAGAGTCCAGACAGCGAGATTTAACGGGCGTATTGACCGGTTGAACACTCGTGCTAGCCCGGTGCAGTTTCCCCAAACTCACGCTACATCAGTTTCATCACTCGCTTTACAAACACATCCAAAACTGATGTTCCTTACCTTAAAGTTACTGGTCAGGCCCTTTGTAATGATGAAGAAGGGAAACACGCTGTCCACCTGCCGAGGACCGCAACAAGTCCTGCTCCTCCTCCATGTAATAATCCGTAAAAAACTCCGAAAACACGATGCACGAGTCCTTGTGCTTTGGTCAAATCTGTCGGTCCGTCCAACGATAATCCTCCAGTATTCTCACTTTAGCCGTTTTTCAGCGGTTTACAGAGACGTGTTTACATTTCAGCCGCTCTGAGATGATGGTGGGCGGTGCCCAGTGTTGGGCACGTTACTTTGAAAAAGTAATTAGTTATAGTTACTAGTTACTTCTCCCAAAAAGTAACTGAGTTACTAACGGAGTTACTCCACTATAAAAGTAACTAGTTACCAGTAAAAGTAACTATTGCGTTACTTTTTCGTTTTGTTCTGGAACATAATGTGCACTCGACGTGCGCATTTTTACCTTTAACCTCAGTGAGTCTGAAATAGTGCCAATATTTCCATCTAGAAAAGGCTGTTTTGCTGCTGAAGTCCTGTTCACTCTTCATCTCTCTCTGTGCTGTAAGCACTAAACACAACACGCTCCACTGTGAATGTGGAAACACCGGTGAAGCACTGACTTCAGACCAATCAGATGAACATATATATCATAGAAATCAAGTGGACCTACAGAGCGGCTTATTTGTTTGGCTACAGCAGAATATGTTTCATGCCTGCATTGTTTGTTCATACAAAACGCAAAACTGTGAGTTATGGGTCTTACCTTATAAATGACCTGCACAGGCCACTTCGGTTCAGACCAGTTCTGTGTTTAAGTCCAGATAATAGTTTGAGCGTAGATATGTAATCCTCCATTTGGAAATGAGTCCAATTAAAAAGTAAAACAAAACGCGTGTGTCCTCCATAAACTCCTGTGTTTTGCTAGCTGAAGCCGGGTGCATCCGATTTCTAAAATCAACCGTCTTACACTTCACCTCTTTCTTATCATTCCTATAGTCATTGAAAAATTACCCTAAGTGCATTTTAAATTATCTTAAAATGTGTTATAGGTATGTTAGCCAAACCTGTTGATGTCCTTAGCAGATAAACCAGGAAGAGAAAGGAGCTTATCAATGGAATTGTATGCAGCCTTCTGCGCTCTCATGCGCTCCTCTGAGGCTGACCTCACGGTGATACAAGCCGTGGTTGAGTGTGATTAATTTGTTTCATTTGTTTAAAAAACACAATTTATGAGCCATCCTCTCAACTGTAGACATGTAGATTGTAAAGGAAATATGTTTTACATCAGCCAATAATTGCTGAGAGGTTTTCTCATCCTCCCTTCTCTCATGACAACACGTTCATTGTGCGTCTTTAGTAACGCGCAGTAACAGGATGTCGGAAATGATAACGGCGTTATAGTTACAGTCAAAGTAATTAGTTAGATTACTCGTTACTGAAAAAAGTAACGGCGTTATTCCCATCACTGGCGGTGCCACATAAACACCGCGTGTGTGTGTGTGTGTGTGTGCGTGCGTGCGTGCGTGCGTGTGTGTGTTCGTGTTCCTTGTTTTTTAATTTAATTTGTTTTTATGTAAAGCACTTTCTGTTGCCTTATGGCAGGAAAAGTACTTATGAAATAAAATTTGATAAAAAATTATCTTTTTTTTTTCTCTCCTGCACCTCAAAGAATCGGAATCGAGAATCGTTTAGAACAGGAATCGATAGTGAGAATCGGAACCGGAATCGGAAAATTGCAAACGATGCCCAACCCTAGTTATGATGTGACCCAAGTATTTAATTTTGCTGCAAACACCCAGCTTTTGACCAGATAAGTAAAAGTCTGGAAAATAAAGATGTTTGTCCCCTTTGGTGAGGCTGATTAGTACAGCGCTCTAATTATAATGAAAATAGTAATAATTAAAGCCGCAAGCGGCGATGAAAGGCCTTGCCACTCTCGCGACTGCCTCCCGGGCGCCAATCCCACAAGTGTCACGTGGCGTACTCGCCGACGAATTGGCAGCCCAATCCGACCAGGATTACGTACATAAAAGCTCATTAATAGGATAAAGTGCGCCCCTAGTGGTCACGTCTGGGACATGCACTCTCTGCGTAGGATAGTATTTTGCTCTCACGGACGTAAAGAATTCATTGTGCGACTTTGGTGAGGATTGGAAAAGTTAAGGTCAGAAGCCTTCCATAGGTGGCGCTGTAGAGTCATATAAGGTGTGTATTTTCACACCATTACGCTCAGGCCATTACCAACTGTTAGCTCTGTTCAGCTCTGTAGGTCTGAGCCTGTGGCCCTCAGGGCTCAGCGAAAACGGCCAAAACGAAGGCCTTATTCGCCATGGCGAGGGACGAAAACGGTGATGATTTTCTAACCTTTTTTTGATGATTATATAACTTCAATCCGTCCAGATTAGGAAATGACGTGGTAGAACTCTGTGTGATGAAAAACCAGGGACTAGTTCAAAGTAAAAAAGGAAAAGTCAAATTAGCGGCGAAACTTCAGCCCATCATGGCCGACTTCCTGTTGGTCCCAGAGTGAGGCCCAGAGAGAGTTTTATGCTCGTCTCATAGAGATCTATCACTGATCTGAATTTCATGTACCTACTCAAAATATGCATGCCTGGCTCCCACAGGCTTTGCAAATTTGACTTTTCCAGGGGGCGCTATCGAATCGCCTTTTGTCGTTTTTGACCCCCCATGTTCAGACTTTCGTGCCTGTCTTCAGGGTTAAAAATCAAATTGATCTTGCGGAAAAATAATAATATGAAACCGACGAATGACAGTAGGCCTCCCCAATACAATAATAATAAGGTAAAAGTGGTCCAAAGGTACAAAGTCAGGACTCAGGAGCACAGGTACACTACAGGCAGATCCTCTGTACCTGTGTGCTGCAGCACAGGGACACTACAGGCAGCGATCCTCTGTACCTGTGTGCTGTAGCACGGGGGCACTACAGGCAGATCCTCTGTACCTGTGTGCTGCAGCACGGGGACACTACAGGCAGATCCTCTGTACCTGTGTGCTGTAGCACAGGGACACTACAGGCAGATCCTCTGTACCTGTGTGCTGTAGCACAGGGACACTACAGGCAGATCCTCTGTACCTGTGTGCTGTAGCACAGGGACACTACAGGCAGTGATCCTCTGTACCTGTGTGCTGTAGCACAGGGACACTACAGGCAGCGATCCTCTGTACCTGTGTGCTGCAGCACAGGGACACTACAGGCAGCGATCCTCTGTACCTGTGTGCTGTAGCACAGGGACACTACAGGCAGCGATCCTCTGTACCTGTGTGGTGTAGCACAGGGACACTAAAGGCAGTGATCTTCTGTACCTGTGTGCTGCAGCACAGGGACACTACAGGCAGATCCTCTGTACCTGTGTGCTGTAGCACAGGGACACTACAGGCAGATCCTCTGTACCTGTGTGCTGTAGCACAGGGACACTACAGGCAGCGATCATCTGTACCTGTGTGCTGTAGCACAGGGACACTACAGGCAGATCCTCTGTACCTGTGTGCTGCAGCACAGGGACACTACAGGCAGTGATCCTCTGTACCTGTGTGGTGTAGCACAGGGACACTAAAGGCAGTGATCCTCTGTACCTGTGTGCTGTAGCACAGGGACACTACAGGCAGCGATCCTCTGTACCTGTGTGCTGCAGCACAGGGACACTACAGGCAGTGATCCTCTGTACCTGTGTGCTGCAGCACAGGGACACTACAGGCAGATCCTCTGTACCTGTGTGGTGTAGCACAGGGACACTACAGGCAGCGATCCTCTGTACCTGTGTGCTGTAGCACAGGGACACTACAGGCAGATCCTCTGTACCTGTGTGCTGCAGCACAGGGACACTACAGGCAGATCCTCTGTACCTGTGTGCTGGAGCACAGGGACACTACAGGCAGATCCTCTGTACCTGTGTGCTGTAGCACAGGGACACTACAGGCAGCGATCCTCTGTACCTGTGTGCTGCAGCACAGGGACACTACAGGCAGATCCTCTGTACCTGTGTGCTATAGCACAGGGACACTACAGGCAGTGATCCTCTGTACCTGTGTGGTGTAGCACAGGGACACTACAGGCAGATCCTCTGTACCTGTGTGCTGCAGCACAGGGACACTACAGGCAGATCCTCTGTACCTGTGTGCTGGAGCACAGGGACACTACAGGCAGATCCTCTGTACCTGTGTGCTGTAGCACAGGGACACTACAGGCAGTGATCCTCTGTACCTGTGTGCTGCAGCACAGGGACACTACAGGCAGTGATCCTCTGTACCTGTGTGCTGTAGCACAGGGACACTACAGGCAGCGATCCTCTGTACCTGTGTGCTGTAGCACAGGGACACTACAGGCAGATCCTCTGTACCTGTGTGCTGCAGCACAGGGACACTACAGGCAGATCCTCTGTACCTGTGTGCTGTAGCACAGGGACACTACAGGCAGATCCTCTGTACCTGTGTGCTATAGCACAGGGACACTACAGGCAGACCCTCTGTACCTGTGTGCTGTAGCACAGGGACACTACAGGCAGTGATCCTCTGTACCTGTGTGCTGCAGCACAGGGACACTACAGGCAGATCCTCTGTACCTGTGTGCTGTAGCACAGGGACACTACAGGCAGTGATCCTCTGTACCTGTGTGCTGTAGCACAGGGACACTACAGGCAGCGATCCTCTGTACCTGTGTGCTGCAGCACAGGGACACTACAGGCAGTGATCCTCTGTACCTGTGTGCTGTAGCACAGGGACACTACAGGCAGCGATCCTCTGTACCTGTGTGCTGCAGCACAGGGACACTACAGGCAGATCCTCTGTACCTGTGTGCTGTAGCACAGGGACACTACAGGCAGATCCTCTGTACCTGTGTGCTGCAGCACAGGGACACTACAGGCAGATCCTCTGTACCTGTGTGCTGTAGCACAGGGACACTACAGGCAGATCCTCTGTACCTGTGTGCTATAGCACAGGGACACTACAGGCAGATCCTCTGTACCTGTGTGCTGTAGCACAGGGACACTACAGGCAGCGATCCTCTGTACCTGTGTGCTGTAGCACAGGGACACTACAGGCAGCGATCCTCTGTACCTGTGTGCTGCAGCACAGGGACACTACAGGCAGTGATCCTCTGTACCTGTGTGCTGTAGCACAGGGACACTACAGGCAGCGATCCTCTGTACCTGTGTGCTGCAGCACAGGGACACTACAGGCAGCGATCCTCTGTACCTGTGTGCTGTAGCACAGGGACACTACAGGCAGATCCTCTGTACCTGTGTGCTGCAGCAGAGGGACACGACAGGCAGATCGTCTGTACCTGTGTGCTGTAGCACAGGGACACTACAGGCAGATCCTCTGTACCTGTGTGCTGCAGCACAGGGACACTACAGGCAGCAATCCTCTGTACCTGTGTGCTGTAGCACAGGGACACTACAGGCAACGATCCTCTGTACCTGTGTGCTGCAGCACAAGGACACTTCAGGCAGATCCTCTGTACCTGTGTGCTGTAGCACAGGGACACTAAAGGCAGTGATCCTCTGTACCTGTGTGCTGCAGCACAGGGACACTACAGGCAGATCCTCTGTACCTGTGTGCTGTAGCACAGGGACACTACAGGCAGTGATCCTCTGTACCTGTGTGCTGTAGCACAGGGACACTAAAGGCAGTGATCCTCTGTACCTGTGTGCTGTAGCACAGGGACACTAAAGGCAGTGATCCTCTGTACCTGTGTGCTGTAGCACAGGGACACTAAAGGCAGTGATCCTCTGTACCTGTGTGCTGCGCACAGGGACACTACAGGCAGATCCTCTGTACCTGTGTGCTGTAGAACAGGGACACTAAAGGCAGCGATCCTCTGTACCTGTGTGCTGTAGCACAGGGACACTAAAGGCAGTGATCCTCTGTACCTGTGTGCTGCAGCACAGGGACACTACAGGCAGATCCTCTGTACCTGTGTGCTGTAGAACAGGGACACTAAAGGCAGCGATCCTCTGTACCTGTGTGCTGTAGCACAGGGACACTAAAGGCAGTGATCCTCTGTACCTGTGTGCTGCAGCACAGGGACACTACAGGCAGATCCTCTGTACCTGTGTGCTGTAGAACAGGGACACTACAGGCAGTGATCCTCTGTACCTGTGTGCTGTAGCACAGGGACACAACAGGCAGATCCTCTGTACCTGTGTGCTGTAGCACAGGGACACTACAGGCAGGATCCTCTGTACCTGTGTGCTGTAGCACAGGGACACTACAGGCAGTGATCCTCTGTACCTGTGTGCTGCAGCACAGGGACACTACAGGCAGATCCTCTGTACCTGTGTGCTGTAGCACAGGGACACTACAGGCAGATCCTCTGTACCTGTGTGCTGTAGCACAGGGACACTACAGGCAGATCCTCTGTACCTGTGTGCTGTAGCACAGGGACACTACAGGCAGCGATCCTCTGTACCTGTGTGCTGTAGCACAGGGACACTACAGGCAGTGATCCTCTGTACCTGTGTGCTGTAGCACAGGGACACTACAGGCAGATCCTCTGTACCTGTGTGCTGTAGCACAGGGACACTACAGGCAGATCCTCTGTACCTGTGTGCTGTAGCACAGGGACACTACAGGCAGTGATCCTCTGTACCTGTGTGCTGTAGCACAGGGACACTACAGGCAGATCCTCTGTACCTGTGTGCTGTAGCACAGGGACACTACAGGCAGATCCTCTGTACCTGTGTGCTATAGCACAGGGACACTACAGGCAGTGATCCTCTGTACCTGTGTGGTGTAGCACAGGGACACTACAGGCAGTGATCCTCTGTACCCAGGCCCGTCGCAAGGGGGGCCACACACTGACAACACACACTCCTTCTCCTCCACACACTGACAACACACTCCTTCTCCTCCACACACTGACAACACACACTCCTTCTCCTCCACACACTGACAACACACACTCCTTCTCCTCCACACACTGACAACACACACTCCTTCTCCTCCACACACTGACAACACACACTCCTCCTCCTCCACACACTGACAACACACACTCCTTCTCCTCCACACACTGACAACACACACTCCTTCTCCTCCACACACTGACAACACACACTCCTTCTCCTCCACACACTGACAACACACACTCCTTCTCCTCCACACACTGACAACACACACACTCCTTCCTCCTCCACACACTGACAACACACACTCCTTCTCCTCCACACACTGACAACACACACTCCTTCTCCTCCACACACTGACAACACACACTCCTTCTCCTCCACACACTGACAACACACACTCCTTCTCCTCCACACACTGACAACACACACTCCTTCTCCTCCACACACTGACAACACACACTCCTTCTCCTCCACACACTGACAACACACACTCCTTCTCCTCCACACACTGACAACACACACTCCTTCTCCTCCACACACTGACAACACACACTCCTTCTCCTCCACACACTGACAACACACACTCCTTCTCCTCCACACACTAACAACACACACTCCTTCTCCTCCTCCACACACTCTGACCACAACAAGGCGTTACCCAAAATGCACTGCACTCACAGTGGCCCTCATGTATGAAGCTTGCGTACGGCCAAATCAGGGTGTAACTGAGGCGTACGCAAAATATTTACACTTTTCCGCATTTATCAATCTGGACATTTATTCTGGATCAGAATCAGTTTATTTGCCATTTGCAGAAAAAAACGACATTGGAACACAGGAGACACCGGGGGCACCAACACAACAAAGCACACACACAGAATAAAAATAGCGAGACACAGTGAGACAAATATAAAACTCTTAAAAGCATTATTAAGACGCTACGAAGGAGGAGCTCCAAGAGAAGCAGATCTCAGGACGCTCTGTTCAGTCTTATAACCGCCTGAGGGAAGAAGCTATTGGCATGGCGGGTGGTCCTGCACCGCACGGACCGGAATCTTCTCCCCGAGGGAAGAGGCTGGAACAAGGCCGCTCCAGGATGACCAGAGGAGTCCTTTACAATCCTCAGGGCTCGGTTCAAGAGTCTGCTCTCATAACGAGCCTCCAGAACGGGCTTCTCACGGTTCACAGTCCTCTGAGCAGAACCACTTTGTTCAGGGCTCTCTTTTCTTTGGCTGTGATGAACCACAGTGATCGCACCAGCATCAGGCTTTCTATGGTGCAGCGGTAGAAGTTCAGAAAAATCTTAGAGTTGTTTGTAAATTCTCTAAGTTTCCACAGAAAGTATAGACGTTGGCGAGCTTTCTTAACAATAAGGTTAGACCAAGAAACTTACTCTCCTCAACAACCTCCACCTGAGAGTTTTCAATGACCACAGGAGAGAGAGAGAGACCACGACTGCACAGGTGAGTGAGAGAGACCACGACTGCACAGGTGAGTGGGAGAGACCACGACTGCACAGGTGAGTGAGAGAGACCACGACTGCACAGGTGAGTGAGAGAGACCACGACTGCACAGGTGAGTGGGAGAGACCACGACTGAACAGGTGAGTGGGAGAGAGAGAGTGACCACGACTGCACAGGTGAGTGAGAGAGACCACGACTGCACAGGTGAGTGGGAGAGACCACGACTGCACAGGTGAGTGGGAGAGAGAGAGTGACCACGACTGCACAGGTGAGAGAGAGAGACCACGACTGCACAGGTGAGTGGGAGAGAGACCACGACTGAACAGGTGAGTGGGAGAGAGAGAGTGACCACGACTGCACAGGTGAGAGAGAGAGACCACGACTGCACAGGTGAGTGGAGAGAGAGAGTGACCACGACTGCACAGGTGAGTGGGAGAGAGAGACCACGACTGAACAGGTGAGTGGGAGACAGAGTGACCACGAATGCACAGGTGAGTGGGAGAGAGACCACGACTGAACAGGTGAATGGGAGAGAGAGAGTGACCACGACTGCACAGGTGAGAGAGAGACCACGACTGCACAAGTGAGAGAGAGTGACCACGACTGCACAGGTGAGTGGGAGAGAGAGTGACCACGACTGCACAGGTGAGTGGGAGAGAGAGAGACCACGACGGCACAGGTGAGTGGTCACCTGGGAATCAATGGTGGTGTCGTCTGCATATTTAATGATCAAGTTTGAGTCAGAAGAAGCAACACAGTCATGGGTGTACAATGTGAAGAGCAGAGGACTCAGAATACACCCTGAGGAGATCCAGTGCTCACAAACGCTTCATCTGAGAGACGGCCACCGATTCTAACTCTCTGAGATCTGCTGATGAGAGAGCTGTAAATCCATTTACACATGGCTTCGCTCAGGCCGAGGGATCTGAGCTTTTCAACCAGTTTACCTGGGACTAGACAGTTAAAAGCAGAGCTGTAATCAATGAACAGCATTCTGGCCAGAGATTTAGCATTGTCCAGATGACTGTACACAGAGTTCAGTGCAAGAGAGATCAGGTCTTCAACGCTCCTGTTTTCTTTGTACGCAAACTGGAGCGGGTCGGTACCGGAGGGGATCTGGCTCTAAACAAAGTCCAGTACAAAGTCCAGTATAAGCCGCTCAATGCCGTCTGGGCATGCGGCTTTTCGGGTCGGGGTTCTGGACAGGACCCACTGCACTTCCTCCTGCGTCACTGTAAAGGCTGCTTGGTCTATACAGTCAAGGAAGACGACAGGTGAGGGATCAGCGGCTTCAAAGTGACAGTAAAAGTTCTTGAGCTCGTTGGGCAGAGCTTTGTCAGCAATGACAGTTCTGCCTGCGCTCGGCTTCCAGGCTGTGATGGTCTGAATGCCCTTCCACTTTTGCCTGGAATCGTTCTCTATGCAGTGTCCTTCTTGTCGCTCTCCATAGGACCGCTTAGCGTGTTTAATAGAGCGTTCTAAAGCACATCTGGATAGTTTGTAAGCCAATGCATCGCCAGATTGAAAAGCTAACGCACGCTCACGGATTCTACTTTTTACTTCCGAAGTCATCCATAGGTTTTGACCGCAATGCTCTTTTATTATTTTCCGTGGGACACAGCAATCAATACAAAAGTCAATATATCCCGTAACAGCATCACAGTATTCGTCCACATTTTCCGAGTGGAAAACAGACCAGTCCGTGGCGTCAAAACAGCCCTGCAGCTTTAAGTTTACGTCGTCTGACCAGCACTGAACAGAACGAAAGGATGGTTTCTGTAGCTGGCTCTTCTGCATATATGATGGCAGAAGCAGCACTGAAGAGTGGTCAGACCTCCCGAGCACTGGTCTGAGGTAAGACCTAAAGGCCCCTTTAATATTACTATAGCAGTGATCCAGAATGCGAGAGCACCTTGTAGGCATAGACACATGCTGGTGAAAGTTATGGAGCACTGACTTTAAGTTACATTTGTTGAAGTCACCCGCTGCCATTATGGCTGCTTTGGGATAAGCACCTTCGCATTTATGCAAAATGTCACTCAAGTCATTTAGCGCGTCAGCGGAGTCCGCTCGGGGGTGAATGTAAACAGCACACAGAAACACAGCAGTCAGTTCCCGGGGCAGAAAGAAAGGGCGGCATTTTAGCACAATATATTCTAGGTTAGCTGAACAAAAAATGTTAACCACAACATTGTCTGTGCTCCAGCACTGGTTGAGCAGGATACATTCCCCACCTTCTCTGTTTTTTCCCGTGGACTCCTTATTCCTGTCCATACGGAAAACGGAGAAGCCAGGTGGCAGAAACGCAGAGTCCTGAACACCGCTGTGGAGCCAAGTCTCCGTCAGACAGAACGCAGCGCATTCTGCGGCCTCTCTCTGGACCCGGATTCGGCTCGCGAGGTCATCTGATTTGTTCAGAAGGGACTGCATGTTTGCTAAATATATGGATGGCAGCGGAGACCCGGAGGTACGGCTCCGCACGAGCAGACCAGCTCGCTTTCCTCGGAGGCGACGCTTCCTCCTTCGGCCCCAGGCTGCCTGGACTCCGCGGTGCGAGTGGTGGAGATGCCCACCCCACTCGCTCTGATCCCGGCTAGAGCCGTAGCGCTGCTCGCCGGTCCGGGTAGGACACTCACCGAAGTCCTTGCATTGGAGTTCGGGCAGAACTTCGCCACAAACTCTGTCTCCAATACTCAAAAAGAGTCTCACGGTTGTACGCCACTGTATCCATCCCCATGCACACAAGACAGACAGCAAAAGACAGGGTGCAACCCAGAGCTCGAGCTACGCAGCCATACACCAACGCCATCTTGGAGATTTATGGAAAATAAAATGTAAAATAGGACTTACTTCATGCACAGAGGATTTGAGTAAGCGACCACATATCTTGTCAAGACCGAGGTTTTTGTTTGGCTTAATTATAGAGAGGGCTTTTATGACATCCTCAGTAAAGGTAAAGGTGCACTTTTATTAATCCCCGTAGGGCAATTCAATCCTCTGCATTCTCTGACCCATCCTGATGCCACTAAGGCGTACGTCAGGAGCAGTGGTCGCTGTAGAACAGCGTCTGGGAACCCATCTCCAGATGTTGATGCTCTGGGTCAGGACCGGAGCTGGAGGATTTTAACCTAGTGAGCATGTTTTTAGTGGTAAGGGAAACTGGAGTACCCGGAGGAAACCTACTCAGGCACGGGGAGAACATGCAAACTCCACTCAGAAAGACCCTGTTCCGACCGGGATTCGAACCCAGGACCTTCTTGCTGAGAGGCGAGAGTGCTAACCACTCAGCCACCGTGTCAACAAGATCATGTTTCAAATCAAGATTTTCCCAACTAAAGTCAAAAGAGTCAAAACGGCAGCAAAACTCATGAAAGTAATTGGCCAGTTCACTGTCAGATACAAAGCCCTCTAAAACAATATTTTTTGTTGCTTGGCCATTTTGGAGCCAGCATTGATGTTCATGCTTGTCCAGGCTGAACCATGTTGTTGTTGCTGCCATCCTATTTTCCAGTTTTGATTTGTAAGCACATTTGGCTTTAAGCATTTCAATTTTAAGTTTCTTCTTGGCTTCTTGAATACCAGGTTGTGATCCTTGCTGAAAAGCTAAAGCCCTTTTCTGTAAGCAGGACTTTACAGTTCTTGTAACCCAAGGCCTATTATTGGGGTATATTTTGACCCTTTTGGATGGTATTATCATGTCCCTTCAAAAAGCCTCATAAGAGCAGGTCATATCAGCCAAGGTGTCCAGGTCATCGTCACATGACTGAGTAAAGACATCCCAGTCCGTACAATCAAAGCATTCCTGTAGTGAAAGTACAGCATCCTGAGTCCAGACTTCTACATCCCTGGTCTCAGTTTTTACTCTCTTCAGAACGGTCTCATAAGCAGGCACTAACTGCACAAATCTATGATCTGAGGAGCTCAGTGGAGGGATTGGAAAAGCTTTGTAGGCCCCTCAATAAATCCATAGCACAAGTCCAGTGTTTTCTTCTGCCTGGTTGGCCAGGAGACATTCTGACAGAAGTTCTTAAGTTCTTTTTCAAGGCCACGTGATTAAAATCCCTGCGGATTGCCAGACGAAGCCTGGGACAGATGACATGGAACTCAGTTTCAGTTCAAGGAGCATATCTCTTGTGTATTGAAGTCTTGCAAAAGAAGATACTGCAGCTCCATTGTTTTTGTTTGCCAGGAGACGAAGGAGAAGGTTTGCCAGCACCATAAAGCTGGTCACTTGCCTCTGGTCGCGTTGATAAAAGCACCAGTCCGTCACATGCACCAGTCGACCACAATAACTAAAACTAAAGTTCATAAAGTTCTTAAAACACACTCAACCAAAACGCCAAGCTCTCATTCACCGCCAGTTGCAGCGTGCGCATGTCTTGGACATACAAGAAAAGAGACTCTTTGTGCTAGTTTCCACGAGATGAATGACATGTGACCCCCCCCCCCCCCGACCCAGAAATGGATTAAGGGGAAGAAAATGGATGGATGGATGGATGGAGTCACATGTATTTCCATCTTTGATAAGAGGTTAAGGTCCTTTACTGCCACCAAGAGGAAATGTGTCCTCTGCATTTGACCCGTCCTTCTGTGGGTCGCCAAAGTGTAGCAGCCGCTAACCCATCTCCATTTGTGTTGTTTCTTATGTGTGTGTGCAGCACCTGGAGAAGAACCTCTCCACTTTTGTCCTGGAGGAGCTGAAGAAGTTCTTCAGGCTCCTGAGCACAGATTACCTAGAATGCTTAGAGCCTGTGGAGGATGAGGAGCAGAGGAGCTGCAGTGAGGCGCTCCTGAAGATCACAGTGAACTTCCTGAGGAGGATGGATCAGAAGGAGCTGGCTGAGCGTCTGTGGAGCAGTAAGAACACGTTCATGATGGTCATGTGATCTTCTCTGACTCCTGTCTCTGTTGTCTTCATTCAGGGACTTATTCTGGAGGTCCTCTGCGTAAACTGAAGGTGGATCTGCAGCAGAGGTTTGAGTGTGTGTTTGAGGGCATTGCTAAAGCAGGAGCCCCCACCCTCCTGAAGCAGATCTACACCGAGCTCTACATCACAGAGGGAGGCTCTTCAGAGGTCAACCAGGAACATGAGGTCCGACACATGGAAGCAGCCTCCAGGAGACCAGCAGAGAGAACCATCACGTGTGAAGACATCTTTAAAGACCCGGCCCACTCAGACAAACCAATCAGAACGGTGCTGACAAAGGGAGTGGCTGGCATCGGGAAAACAGTGCTCACTCAGAAGTTCAGTCTGGACTGGGCTGAAGGCAAAGCCAACCAGGACCTCCAGCTGCTGTTCCCCTTCACTTTCAGAACTCTCAATGTTCTGAAGGACAGAAGCTTCAGCCTGGTGTCACTTGTTCATCACTTCTTTAGTCAAACACAAGCAGATCTCTGCAGCTTTGAAGACCTCCAGGTGCTCTTCATCTTTGACGGTCTGGACGAGTGCAGACTTCCTCTGGACTTCAGCGGCTCTCGTGTCCTCTCAGACCCCACAGAGTCCGTCTCTCTGGACCTGCTGCTGGTGAACCTCATCAGGGGGAGCCTGCTTCCCTCCGCTCGCCTCTGGATCACCACACGCCCCGCGGCGGCCAATCAGATCCCTGCAGAGTGCGTCTCCATGGTTACAGAGGTCCGAGGGTTCAGCGACTCTCAGAAGGAGCAGTACTTCAAGAGGAGGTTCGGAGAACAGGCCGACACAGTCCTCTCCCACATCAAGACGTCCAGAAGCCTCCACATCATGTGCCACATGCCAGTCTTCTGCTGGATCACTGCCACAGTCCTGGAGCATGTGTTGAAGAGCAGAGAGAGAGGAGAGCTGCCCAAGAGCCTGACGCAGATGTACAGCCACTTCCTGGTGGTTCAGGCCAAAGTCAAGAACATCAAGTATAAAGAAGGATCAGAGACAGACCCACACTGGAGTCCAGACACCAGGAAGATGGTGGAGTCTCTGGGAAAACTGGCCTTTGAGCAGCTGCAGAGAGGAAACCTGATCTTCTACGACTGTGACCTGAGCGAGTGTGGGCTGGACGCTGCAGCCGCCTCAGTGTACTCCGGAGTCTTCACACAGGTCTTTAGAGAGGAGCCAGGCCTGTACCAGGACAAGGTCTACTGCTTCATCCATCTGAGTGTGCAGGAGTTTCTGGCTGCTCTTCACGTCCATCTGACCTTCATCAACACTGGAATTAATTTGTTGGTAGAGAGAAAGTCCACAATGTCCATAATAAAGCATTACTTCAATGAAAAGGATCCACTTAACTTCTACCAGTCAGCTGTGGACCAGGCCTTACAGAGTCCAAACGGACACCTGGACCTGCTCCTCCGCTTCCTCCTTGGCCTGTCAGTGTCGACCAATCAGAGCCTTCTAAACGGTCTGCTGACACAGACAGGAAGTAGCTCCCAGACCAATCAGAAGACAGCAGAGTACATTAAGAAGAAGCTGAGTGAGGATGTGTCTGCAGAGAGGAGCATCAGTCTGCTCCACTGTCTGAATGAACTGAATGATTCTTCTCTGGTGGAGCAGATCCAACAGACCCTGAGGTCAGGACGTCTGTCTGAAGGACTGTCTCCTGCTCAGTGGTCAGCTCTGGCCTTCATCTTACTGTCATCAGAAGAAGATCTGGACCAGTTTGAGCTGAGCAGATACTGTGCTTCAGAGGAGGCTCTCCTGAGGCTGCTGCCAGTGGTCAAGGCCTCCACCAAAGCTCTGTGAGTAACCTTTGTTTAACACAGGATTCATTCAACTTCTACATAACCATGTTTTCTGTCTCCAGACTGAGCCGCTGTGAGCTGTCAGACAGAAGCTGTGGAGCTCTGGCCTCAGTCCTCAGCTCCCAGTCCTCTAGTCTGAGAGTCCTTGACCTGAGTCACAACGACTTGAAGGACTCAGGGCTGAAGCTGTTGTCTGATGGACTGAAGAGTCCTCACTGTAAACTGGAGACGCTCAGGTCAGAGGGTTCATATGATTCACTGTTCTTACAGAACCTGTTGGTCATTGTTTTGGACAATACCAGTGGACAAAGACAGTTAAAGATGCTGCTAAGACCATCCTTCACCTGAGTCCACCCTCGCTCCAACACACAGGTTTATGTGAGAAAAAGAACAGTTTAAAGAACAGTTTAAAGAACAGTTTAAAGAACAGTTTAAAGAACAGTTTAAAGAACAGTTTAAAGAACAGTTTAAAGAACAGTTTAACACTGATAGTTTAACTAAAGAAGAGCACAAGTCCAGAAACAAAGATAACTCTGCAAACAAACACATCAAGGCTTTATCATCTGGAGGCAGAGAGCTGCTCCTCATTACAGAACAAACACTTATCTTTCTATTCACTAAAATGTGCTTCTCTGATCTGTGATATTTTAATCATCAAACAAACATTAGGCCTCTCCTTAAGATCTTCTTCTCGAGTTCAAACATCTGACAGAAAAGTGCTGTTGTGGAGATTCTGCAGTGACCGAGAGCTAAAATAATGTAAAGAACCAAGAGCTGTAAAACAATCAAAGTGTGAGTTTATTCATTAGTAAATGTGACACATACAATGAATAACAGAACCGATACCAACACCACCTGCAGCCGTCTGAAACCGTCTGTTATAGAAATCTTTTAGTAAACCAATCTGAATTAACACCAAATAGTTATAAGTGTAAGTTATTAACTAATTCTCAACTCTGGATTCAGATACAGCAGATATTACTGTTGGCAGCAGGTCAGTGATAGATGGAGACGTGCTGCATCATGTCTTTGACCTCATCTGCAGTGCCGGCGTGGCTAATCGGGAGAGTCGGGAGGTTTCCCGGTGGGCCGGTTGGGCTAAGGGCCGGTGGGCTGGATGTTGTATGTTGCTGGTTGGACTTGGCCGGCGGCCGTGCTTTCCTGACACCGCTGTTCACCGCAGCCTTCTCGGACCTGTCGCTCGGCCGTGCGCACTGCCTCTCTCTCTCTCTCACCCACACACACACACACACACACACACACACACACACGAGTAAACAGCACACACACTTCTGGCTAGTCTCATTTGGCCGCTTTCATTGGTTACGATGTGTTCTGCAACGGCCTGATTGGTTGTCTGTAGATTGTAGGCGGGACTAACCGAGAGCGCGGGCCATAGATCAGGTTGAATGACAGATAAAACTGAAGCAAGTTTTTAAAATGGAAAGGAACAAAATCAAGGGCGGAGCAGAAAAGATTAGAATAAAAAACGGAAAGCTCTTGAAGCTGAAGCAGCCAAATGTTCAAAGTTGGTAGTTTTTTTCTAGAAAAAGTGCTCCGTCGATGAAGAGGCATCAGACCGTAAGCTAGCAAAAAAACATGCAAAACACTGTGGCAAAACATGACGATGTGATTCCCTAAATGATTAGCATTCCGTCAATTACATTTATTGCTTCTTAGGTCCTCAGATACAACAATCGTCCATTCATATTAATGAAGAGCCTCAGGAACGGGCAGGTAAAGACCAAAAAGAAGATTTTATTTTTAATCAAATTTGACTAAGCCTTTTAAGGCCGTGAATTAATTTATTTCATAATGTATAATGTATATTGCATAAATAACATTTTTAACTTCTTTGTACATTAGGAAAGTAACAGTTGAATATTTTGTGTGTGTGTCAAAAGATGTGAAGAAGATGACATGTCTGGGATCGCGTCTTTCATTCAGACAGAAGACATGTTTTATTGTCGATGGTAGAGACAGCACGAATGACACGAACAACAGAATGCAAGTGTATTATACAGAGCGGAGGCATGGAGACCTCCAATCAGCAGCTGCCACAGTGCCATGTAGCTTGGCCTTCAGATAGACACAACAAGGGAAAAGTACTGGCTTCTGCACATTGATAGAATGATGAGTTTAACTTTAACAAAAGTTGCTTCAAAGTGTTATGAAATCTCACATTCCCCCCTCTGGTCACACATTCACGTGTGACCATCAGGATCGATAAACAGCAACATAACATCATAACTCAATACTTCAACTCGGTACTTCACTCTGTACTTCAAAAAACTCAGAACTCGGAATACTTAAAAAACTCAGAAAACTCATAAAACATGTTCAGATCTTTCATAAAACTTGTCAACAATCTTCAGTAAAATACCAAACTTCATCAGTCAATGGTTCTTAGATATTGCTTTGAAAACAGTTTCTCCCACTTCTCCGTGTTGGTTTCTTCAGGCTGCATTTGTGTCGAGCCATGAATTCTTTTTTTTTATTTTTATTTTTTTATTGAATCACCCAGTGATAGGGGAGTACATATACAGTAGTTACATCCAAGGAAAACATACAGTAGTTATATATAAAGAAAACATATACAGTAATTACATACAAAGAAAATAGATTATACAAACTCCTGTATGGTAGCATTGTGGGGAGGAGGGGG